AATATCGAAGAAAACAATCCAGAAGTGGTTGGAAGGTGTAGATGCTTACACACTTCACAAACCCCTTCGCCACAGATTTCCCACGAATCGCGTCATAGTTTATAGTAAAGATAGCCAATGGCAAGCTGACTTAGTGGATGTGTCCATGGACCTTAATAGACTAACCCAGTTGCGTTTTCTCCCTTGTCTGGCGCGTTCCCGGCTGTCACCTTGATCACATCCGGAGGAGTAGGGACGACTTCCAGAAATTAGCAATGGTTGGCTATTATAGCGCGTACAATTGTCACGAAAAAGCTGGTGGTAGGGCCTCATTTCACAAGTAAGAATTTTTAAATATTTTATTTTGACACTGAGATTGCTTTTTAAAATACTTAGCATGTTTTTCAAGCATAATTAAGTTCTAAATAATTATAAAGCTGTTGCATGCTTTCGGCCTTTATATATTTTTAACTTTTCCTATGATGTAAGCGAATTTGTAACTTCTCTTTTAGAAAATAATATTTAAAATCTGAACTAACAGAAAAATTCAACCAAGTAATTTTCTCTTACAATTACTAAAAGTATAAACTACTAAACTAAACTAATACTAAAATGCCTAAAATGAATTTTTGAAAGTTTTTCTTCAAAATTTATAATTTTTTGCTGCTTTTTAAATTATAGGTAAATTTTAATTCCTAGCATTATAACTAATCAAAAATAAGAATATTTAAGAACGAAAAGTATACATCTTATAGAGCTGGTTTTGTTGTTAAAAGCTTAGCTTATAAAGTAAATGTAATATCGTTTTCAGCCTTAGTTTAAACAGAACCATATGATGGTTTGCTAGGTTTCAAATATATAAATCTGGATGTAAGGTTTGACTTCTCCTTCCAGTGACGTCCGAATGATCTGCAAAAATGCAGAAATAATTTTAGGCAGACTGAAAAGGAGTTTAAATTGAATAAAAAAAAATATTATATATTTCATAACTCTAAAAGTCTTAAAAAGCGTAGGAACACATATATTCCTTCTCTCAAGACCATTTTATGATGATGATCCAGATAAAAAACCACCTGATTAAATTAATTAAAGCAGTGATATTTCAATATTTAAAAATCAGAATGCATCATGCAGTTGTTGTTACAATGAATCTAAACAGAGAGAAAATTTTCGAAGCAGATTTACTAAATTAATTTTATTTAAGCATCAATAAACCATATTATCTGTTTCTCTTCCTCTCTCTCTCTAAATATATATATATATAGGTGTGTGTATTTACATAATAGAAAATAGAATAATCTTGTTTTCACAAATTTGAAATAAAAATGAAGTAGCGAATTTTTCAATGCACAAAATATCCTAATGTTTACTTTCATAAGATGTATTTTGGGAGTATAGTCTTCTGCTTAAAGTATTTAAGGTATAAATACAAGGTTCTTTAGGTCTATAATAAAAATTTAAGCTGGGACTATAATATCTTGTATTTATAGTAATGATTTTTTAAAATTTATTTCTACCGCATAAGATTTTTTTATACTGCGAATTTTTTTTTAAATTTTCATACACTAGAAAAGTTTTGCTCCAATTTTATGAGTTTAATTTGTCATAATGATCATCTTTTAATACATAATAATTTGAAAAGAGAAAAAAAAATAAAACAATCTTGGTTTCTATAAACATTTGAAATGATAAATATTGCTACTTTAGCCTGAAAAGTTAAAATTAAAAATGAAATGTATATCAATCTTACTTAATTTACTTAATTTGTAGGCAAAGTAAATAAAATTTTTTGCTTAGAGTTTTTCCGTTTTATCAAAGTAAAGATGTTTAGACAAGAATGACGTTATGCCTCAAAATGCAGTTAAAAAAAAAATACTCAAAATGCACTAAAAAGTGGTTCATGAAATATTAAAATCTTAAGCAAAAACTGGATTTTTATTATCTCATTTTAACGGCACATTTATAATAAAAAGAGTTATATAACAACGCCATAGGTTTAATGTTACGATAAATAAATCGCTCTCTCTCTTCCGACATGTGGACGCACGCCCCCCACTGGTTAGTCATTCTTATAAGTCAGGAGTGTCGCATTTACGTAAGCATAATGATGGTTTCCGATACATTTTAACATGTATAGACATTTTATCAAATTTGCTTGGGCGATTCCGCTCAAACAGAAGCGAGGAGAAGATGTGATAAAGGCTTTTACTGAAATTTTCACGGACCGTAAACCGAAAATGTTGCAAACAGATCAGGGAACAGAATTTAAAAATTTGAGATTTCAAAGATTTTTGAAAGAACATAATGTACGATTTTTCACAACGTTTAATTCTACAAAAGCTTCCGTAGTGGAAAGATTTAACCGCACTTTAAAAACTAAAATGTGGAAGTACTTTACAAGTCACAATACTTTCAAATATATCGATGTGTTAGATAAATTAATGAAAAGTTATAATAACACTTATCATTCGAGTATTAAAAGAGCTCCTGCAGGAGGTGAATGATGAAAATGAGTCAGAGGTATGGTTTACATTGTACAAAGACTTGGAAGAAGCGAAATCCGCACACACTGTGTTTTCAATGTAGGAGATGTTGTTCGCGTCTCGAAAACGTAAATTATTATTTGAGAAAGGGTATGAAACTAACTGGACTGAAGAACTGTTTATAGTGACGGAATGTATTAAAAGACGAAATCCATTTGTTTATAAAATTAAAGATTTATTAGGAGAACCGATACAAGGTACGTTTTATGCTCAAGAACTTCAAAAAGTGAAACTGAAAGAGAAATTTCCCGTGGAGAAAATTTTAAAGAAGCGTACGCGGAGAGGTCATGTAGAGTATTTAGTTAAATTTCGCGGCTATCCGTCTAAATTTGATGATTGGCTCCCTGCATCTAACTTATTCCCAATATAAAAAGCGAAAGCCTGTGTATATCCCCACTCAGTTTTCGCCATGAGTTTCTACGTGACGTTGCCGAGCGATAGCTCTATGAGTTATTTTCCTGAAAACAAAATATCTCATTATATTACTCGCTTGCCTGTACCCATTGAATTGCAGGGAGAGTGGGAAGTTTCTGTAGTTGAATTCCTTTACCCTCACACTTGGTATAATATAAGTGCCAGTAATAATTTAATTGTATTTGATTTAAATGACGGTAAAATAATCGGAAGAAGGATACCTCCAGGTTTTTATGAAAATGTAGAGGACATTTTAAAGGCGATTCAAATTGATGAAATGCTGAATAAAATTTCATTTACTTTCAATACTGTAACAAAGCATGTTAGTGTAAGAGTTAAAAATGGAGCTCGCCTACTATTACAGGATGGATTATGTCAAATGCTAGGTTTTGAGCCTATGGTCATTTCTTCTACGGAAGCGGATGCTGATGTAACGGTAGTTAGTCCTTACATAGCTGACCCATGTTGTACTTACCGCGTTTTGTTTCTTTATACAGATGTTGTGAAACCACAGATCGTGGGTGATGTTTTAGCCCCTCTCCTTCGAATCGTCAAAGTCACAGGAAATGATGGAGAAGTCGTGTGTGAACAATATGATAGACCTCACTACTTACCTGTCAACCGAAAAATTATAGAGACGATTGAAAATTGTTATAAGAACGCACACAGGCGAATTGACGCCATTTGAGCGCGGACGTTCATACGTGAAACTTCACTTTCGCCAAAAGTACTTGTCATAATCCGGTACATTTTAATGTATCGTACCAGTGTTGTCAGAAATCTTTTGAGGATTACTACTTGCAACAAACAGGAGGATGGACTTAATTTTTACCAAGGTGTACCTCACCAGAAGGGATATGGTTTTATTTAGATCATTTTTTCGAGCAGCAGTTCCTCTTTTCAAGTCGGGCGCTAAAGCAGTTGGTAAACAAATGCTACAAGCAGGACAAAACGTATTAAATGATGTATCTCAGGGAAATAATGTGAAAGATTCGGTCAATAAACGTTTCAAAGAAGCGGGGCGCGAACTTACCGACAAAGCCGCTCTAAAAGTAAAGAACATGATTGGTTCTGGAAGAAATAAAAAGAGAAGACTTGCTAGAAAATCAGTCATTTCACGTCGAACAAAGAAGGTGAGAGCATCACCCGATATTTTTTCTTAAGATGACTTCGTTTTATTCGTAAAGATTCTCCAGCTTGTGTGAAATCAGAATTGGATTTGTTTCTAATACCTCCTACACAAACGGCTATCGAAAAAGGACAGTATGTTGAATATCACCCTCTCTCGAATATACGTGACGGTGGTCCAGTCGAATTTAACATTTCGGGTACTGGCGAAGACTATCTTGACTTAAGTTCATCGTATATTTATGTTAAAGTTAAAATCGTGAAAGCAAATGGATCAGCCTTAACAATCAAGGATTATGTATCCCCTGTGAATTTATTTTTACATACATTATTCTCACAAGTAGCTGGGAGTTTGAACGAAAGAATCATATCGGCGTCTACGAATACGTATCCTTACCGTGCTTACATTGAAACATTACTGAACTATGGAGAAGATGCCAAGAAAAGTTTACTCACCTGTGAATGCTTCTACAAAGATACCTGTCTCACCGAAGTGAATCCATTGGCGGATAAACCGAACGAAGGTCTGAAAAAACGATTAGAACTCATTAAAGGCAGTAACACTCTGGATATGATTGGTCAACTTCACTGTGATATTTTTCAGCAAAACAGACTTTTACTCAATTTAGTAGATGTCAAGATCATCTTACAACGCAGCAAAGCACCCTTCTGTTTAGTGTCACCCGAAGAAAAAGCAGATTATAATGTTATTCTCGAACATGCTTCCATGTTTATTAGAAAAGTGAAAGTGAGTCCAGGGGTCTCTCTAGGCCATGCGAAAGCACTAGAAAAAAGTACTGCCAAATATCCCATTGACCGAGTCTTATGTAAAAAACATATTCCGTTTCACAAGGAAGTTGGTCATTTCTTCAAGATAATGTTTTCTTGGGTGTTATGCCGAAACGTGTGATCATCACCTGTCTCTCCAATGCAGCTATGAACGGACAGTACAAATCCAATCCATTCGTGTTTCATCATTATAACGTGAACTTTTTATCCGTGTATATCGACGGACACCCTATACCGGGCAAACCACTGGAGCTCGATTTTGATTCGAACAATTACATAAGAGCTTATCATAGTCTGTTTTCAGGATTTAATCGAGACAGAGGGAGCAGAGGGATTTATTTATCAAGAGATGATTTTTCTGCCGGTCATGCCTTATATGCATTTGATTTGACACCAGACTTGTGCAACGATTCTCATCTGAACCTACAACAACAAGGCAATTTACGAGTAGAATTAAAGTTTTCGAAAGCTCTGACTGAAACTATTTCGGTACTTATTTATGCTGAATTTGAAAACGTGATTGAGATAAACAAATCTCGGCACGTATTATGTGATTTCACAAATTAAATATGAATACAATTCAACTGCATCGCATCCTGTCCTCGAATATTTTTACGCGAGATGCCTTTTTAGGGGTGTTTCCGAGCGATCACTTACCTCATATTGTGATTGAGAACTATCCATCGTGTTTCATCGCTAATGTGGATTCGACAGAAGAACCTGGAAGTCATTGGTTGGCCTTCTATATTCCATCACCCCTGCAAATGGAGTTTTTCGATTCTTATGGTCACCCTCCCTCAACATTTTTAGGAGAAATTTCGGATTTCGCCTCGAGATATGCTCAAGTGGAATATAACCCCATACCTTTACAAAGTGACGGAACAGCCGTATGTGGACATTATTGTATCTATTTCCTATATTCCAGATGTCGCGGATATTCAATGAAGAATGTATTACATCATTTTATTCCTAAAAATATATGTAACGATAGAAAAGTTTATGATTTTGTAACCAATCATTTTCGTGTACGCACTCCATTCCTTCAATAAAAATGCATTTAAATGATTAATTATGTGTCTTGTCATCATTTACCATGGAGTTTCCAAAACTGCAGCATCCTTTTACTATGGTCATCGCGGGACCCACAGGTTGTGGGAAAACATTTTTTGTGAGGGATCTGATTAAATATAAGAAGGACATGTTTTCGATCGTGCCCGATAAAATTGTCTGGTTCTACGGGATCCACCAACCTCTTTACGAAGAAATGGAAGATAATATTACATTCGTAGAAGGACTACCCAAGAACTTTCGCGAATTTTTAGGTGTGCATACTTTATTCATATTAGATGACTTGAATGCAAGAAGGAACAAAAGATAATCGTTTAACTCAGCTGTTTAGTTAGAGGGAAGTCATCACTTAAACTTAAGTATTATTTTTATAACGCAAAATTTTTTTTCATAAAGGTAAAGAAATGCGAGATGTGACTTTAAATGCACACTATTTAATACTTTGTAAAAATCGCAGAGATATGAGTCAGATATCTCACTTGGGAAAACAACTCTTTCCTAGAAACTTAAAATTTTTTCAAGAAACTTATGAAGATGCAACTAAGAAACCCTATACTTATTTGCTCATTGATCTGCGCGCCGATACACCGGAAGAATTACGTTTGCGCACAAATATTTTACCTCATCAAACGCAATACGTATATCAACCTAAGCATTATTAAACAGAGTTCATTTAAAAAGATGACAGTGACGGAAGAGCATCAAAGACAGCTGAAATTACTTCAAATTTGTCCTAAAAAATTATTGAAAGAAGTCCTGAAACGTGTCCCCTCTTCGTGTATAAAAGCCATATGTGAATGCTGCCTGAATACTTTAAAAGGAAACGTACCTCTTTCAAAGCATCAAAAAAGACACCTTCGGAAGCATAAACAGACCTTAAGAAAATTAGCGTATGAAAAATCTCCTATTCGGGAAAAAGAAAAACGCAAGTGGATTGTACAAAAAGGTGGTTTTCTCAACGTATTGATTCCTGCAGCTTTAAGTGCCATTACTGCAATCTTAAATGGAACACGTTAAAAAGTACGTTTTAATACCCGAAGGGTCCGTGACCAAACCTTCCGAAAAACATGCCAATGAATTAGATCGCGAAATGTCACGCATTCTCAACAGTTCCCTAGCAGAAGATGAAAAAGTCAAGTTATATTATGAACTTTTACAAAAGAAATTAAAAATGCAGTATTTTAACCCACCTTGGATTATCGGAAAAAAAGAAATTTGATGAAGAAATGAAAAAAGAAATGCAATCTCCCTCTGACTTCTGAGAAACGTCAAAATAAAAGCTATGAAGATATTGTGATGAATAGTGTTCCTACAAATTTACGGAAATATGCCAACAATATTCTCGACATTTTCAAGAAATATCCTGAAGTTATCAGATGGAATGAACTGGGCGAAATATTCTACCGAGACGAATTAGTGGAAAATTCTAATATTGTGGACTTGATGGCTATACTTTTAACAAACTCAAAAAAATCTCCGAAAGGAAAAGATAAATTTTTAACAGCTATCGAGAATTTAAATATACCATCTCATTATATTAAAAATAAAAATCTGTATGATGTGAAAAATGTAAAAATGGTATCCGAAGATACTTTAACGGATGTTTCTGATGTAAAAGAATGGTTATCTTTGGAATAAACAAATGACTTTAACTTTTGTGTGTCTCATACTTTTCAAACACATCACTCATTCGATTGACTCTTTACTATCCTACCATAGTAATGAATGTTTCCTGTTATCTGTTTACTATCCTACCATAGTAATGAATGTTTCCTGTTATCTGTTTACAAGGATGATTTATCTGTTGATTAGGATACCTTTTGATAATATATAGTAATCCATAAACTATCATTTCCCTAATCCCATGTTTACTATTGCCTTTATCTGTTTAACTTGAATTCACTCATTTCGATCAGAGGTTAGATTGATGTCACTCGTTAGTATCAAAATCTGATGATTCATGAACAAGGGTCACACGATGGTATTGAAATCAGATGATTAACGAAATCATGTGACAAATGTTCTAGAATGTTCCAAATGAAATCATTATCATTTGATTGGTTAGAGCAAAATTACCCATAATTCCTGCGATGTGTACATAAAGTCCAGCATGCTCAGACAATCTCATATTGCATCTTGATTTGGTATTATCTATCAAGTATTCAACTTTTAAATTTAAAAATGGAAAACTTCTATAACGATGTTGCTGCTGACCATATCATCAGTTTGGTTCCTGAACATGTAAGTTTTAATTTTATTTTGTGAAATATTTTATTTTGTGAAAATTACTTTAGGGTGGATCACCCTTTTAAGACCTTTTATGTGAGGGAAAATTTTTTAAATGTAAAATATAAAATTAAATATTACTCATAAAGTTTTTCAGTATTTTGCTGGGAATACTAAATGTTTCATATGAATTACATAGTGAATTTTTAGTATCGGTATATGTTTTGAGCGTTTGAATTTTTAGTGTCGGTGTATATGTTTGAGTGTTTGAGTGTCTATTAGGAAAGTTTAAACTAAACGTAATTTAAAAATGTTTCATACATTTTTGCATTTAAAATGTTTCAGGCATAAATTTGATAATTTTAAAGCTTGAGTGTATATGTGAGGGAAAAATTTTTAAATGTAAAATATAAAATTAAATGTTACTCATAAAGTTTTTCAGTATTTTGTTAGACATGTTTTAGGTATGTTTCATATAAAGTCGGTGTTTAACATTTTTTTAGTAAAGTTTGAGTGTTTGAATTTTTAGAATCTATTAGGAAAGTTTAAACTTAGAACATCAATTCTTTATATTAAAGCGAGAATGTAAATTTTAGAAAATGAACTTAGGTAACGCTGAATTTAATAGGTTAAATTTATATTTTGAATATTATTGAATGTGTGTTAAATGTCAAAGGATTAAACTGTGTAAAAGTAACTTATTTCGTTACTGATATTTAGTTACATTTGTATAGTTGTTATTTTTACATATAAAGTCATTCGTTTTAAAAAAAGGTAACGGTACAGTATCATAAATTGTTAACGATAAAAATCGCGATAAGCCTTCTCCGTTTAACATAGGAGAATTCACAGTTGACATTTGTATAGCTAGTTAAAAGCTATGAGGCGAGTTTTAAAAGTATACCAATAGCTTACCCCTGTCTTTGTTTCTTTCTCAGGTGTGTCCCACTTGTGGTGAAGGGTTTACGGTAAAACGGAGCTTGATTCGTCACCTTAAAACTCATTCAGGGGAAAAATCCTTTCTTTGTGATATGTGTGAAAAGTCATTCACTCGCGGCAGTGATTTGGATCGGCATAAGAAAACCCATGAAAGTGCTTCTTTGAATTGTGCAACTTGTTCGATGAAATTTACACGAGCTGATAATTTGAGACGTCACGAATTGTCTCATTTGAGATCTTTTGTCTGTGCAGAGTGCTCTCAAATATTTAATAGACATAGCGATCTGTTACACCACATTCGTGTAGAACACAGTGTTACACGAACCCATGAAAAACGCCGTAATACGGATCCTTCTGCCAGCGCTTCGAAACGGATCAAAACGACCCGTGTTCGAGATATTTTCTCGACGGAAACCATATTCCCCAACGCAGAACACAGTCAAGATGTAGACGTATTTTTCGGACATTTGAGACCTCTGTTAAATGAAACATTGCAACAAAATTTAAGTGCCCATCGCAGCTTAAAATGGTACGGGGTCATCAATGTTTTGATGAGTCGTGATAATGGGGATGGTGAGAAAGAATATGCTAGCCCCTATTTCCGAAGTAAATGTGCGCGCCTCTTAAATACACACGATGTCGAGCCTCAAGTCGAAGAGGCCTTTAAAAAAATAAAAAAATAACTTTGAAGAATTTTTGAAAAACGGATCAGGGTGGGTCTTGGAGAAAATTAACAAATTTGAATTAAATGTGGCTCGTTATGAGGTCTTTCCGGGTAGCAGTTGCATCTCTCTGCCTAAGAAACTGGCCGATAAAAAGGCCATCTTAAATATTCAAAATTATGAGGACGATAAAAATGCTTTGTGTGGTGTTTAATCGCCCACAAAATGACACGAGAAAATCAACCCCATCGCCTTTCTCACTACAAGCTCACGCATTCAAAATTGCGTATTTAGAAAAGCTAAATAATCTGCGAATAAATGTGTTCGGCTATGAAGACGAAGAAGTGTTCCCCCTGCACGTATCTAAACATACGAATGAGGACTGTATTAATTTGCTCCTGATCAGCGAAGAAGATAAGCAGCATTACTGCCTGATTCGGAACATGTCGCGTCTTCTAGGAGACGTCAATAAACATCGTATTTCTTATCATATCTGCTATCGCTGCCTCCACCGCTTTCAGAAGGAAGAGACGTTAAAGGAGCATTTAAAATATTGCGCCGAGCATTCTGTTCAACACGTGAAAATGCCGGAAGAAGGAGAAAATATACTTTCCTTCACAAACATTCAGTTTCAACATCGCGTCCCCTTTATTGTGTATGCGGACTTTGAAT